AATGTGGATTCAATGGAAAAGTTCCTAACATGAGGAATTGTTTCTGATCCGTTATAGTTTATTAGAGATATACGAGACAATATAATGGATCTGTCAAAGAAGTAAAAGAGAATACTTGAATGGAACAACTCATGTATATAAATGCAGTTATTGTAGAACACTTACTAGGCTATGTACACTCCAAAACTGCCACTGGCATTTCACCTCCTCATACTGTTGAAAAAATTCGTAGCATCACCCCGAATGACTTCAGCACAACGCAAGATCTTTTGTAAGCTATAAAATTACCTTCAGTGCTATTGATATAAACTGAAAACTAATTTTTCAGAAAGATGGGAAACCATTATTTCTCTATATATTTTTTTTAAAGCAGTTTCATTCTGTCACTCAGGTTAAGTGCAGTGTTGTGATCACAGCTCACTGCAGTCTTAACCTTCTGGGCTCAAGGCATCCTCTCACCTCAGCACCCCCGAGCAGCTGGGACCATAGGTGCACCCCACCAGGTCCAGCTGACTTTTTATTTTTTGTAGAGACGGTACATCCAGGCTGGTCTTGAACTCCTGGAATCAAGCAATACTCCTGCCTCGGCCTTCCAAAGGGCTGTGATTACAGGTGTGAGCCACAGCACCCAGCCTTCTCTCTCTCTCTCTCTCTTTTCTGCATGTTCCTAATGTGACTGTAATATGTGAACACCCTGAGTCTAAAACAAAACTTAGATCACTCCTTTAAACAGAAAAAAAAAAAAAATACGCTTACTTTGTACATTTGACACCTGTACTTGATAGAAAACTCAAAAGAAATAATTTTTAAATGTCTAGATTCATGATGTTTGATTCTAAGAGTATTCAAAATGCAGGCAATATATCTATTTCCATACCTCCAGAAATAACTGCCAATATTTCTTCTATATTGTCCCCACTGAAAAGGCCATTAAATTTAACTTGGTTTTAAATACTCATTTTTTCGCTTTAAAATAATACATTGAGGATAAACATATAGACAGAAAGTAGATTGGACATTGCACAGGATGAGGAAGGAGATTGGGATGAACAGTAATTGGCATGCAGAATCTTATTGTGATGACAAAAAATATTCCAAAACTGATTTATTGCAATGGTTGCAACACTTGCTAAGTTCACTAAAAACATCATTGTACAATTGAAATGAGTGAACTATATAGGATATACAAATGCTTCAACAGATTTACATTAAAAATAAATCATTACATGAGAGGAGCCAGACAAACAGTATATAATATATGAAACCTTTTACTAAAATTACAAAGTGAGCAAAACTAATTTAGAGTTTTTGAAATCAGGATAGGGCAATCCTTGTAGGAAGGAATATGGCTGGTGCAGAGCACAAGGGAGAGCTTTCTAAGGTGACATTAATTTTCTGCCTTGTCTGTGATAGTTACATGGATGAGCTTGATTTGTGAAAATTCATTGAGGTGTACATGTATGATATATGCAATTTTCTGTAGATATATTATACATCAATAAAAAGTCCACAGCAGAACAGTAATAAACTTGTGAACGGAGGATGAGCAAAATATTACTAGAAAAAAGCTATGCCCTTGTGTTCTTTAATAGTGTTCTTCCACTTACATAGCTAGTATCACTTAGGTCTCTTCTGGTTCCACTAATGCTGCCATCTTTCAAGAAGCAGCTCTAAGATTTCCTCTCCAGTGAAATGCGCTCTTATATCATTTAGCTGAAAGAGCCTTCTTCCTTTAATCTCTTCAATACATATAAATGAGATAAAAAGTAAAATGTTGAGCAAATGATATAGTTGAGTTTTCTCATCTGCCAAAAAATACATAGTTTTATGGGGAGAAAACACAACTAACTTATTTATCCATCAAACCCCAAAGTAACTGTCATGGTAAACTGAACGTTGTAAACTTTCAAGTAAGTGCTGGTTAACAACTGAAATATTTCCATTAATAGTTAAGAATAACATGAAACCTAAGCTGAATGCCAAATGTAAAATTTCTAGTTATCCAGTTGCTAAACTGTCATTTTCATATTTAGATTTCCAAAGTTATGTGTAATATTTTTTTTAAAAACTCTCTAAAATTTATAAAAATAAAACAAAGAGAAATAGAAACCATTCAAATAATAAAGAAAGCTTTTAAGTGGCATAACAAAATTAGAGAGCATATTTATTTATTAATTTATATATACAAAGTTGGTTTTAGGTAAAATCAACAGGCAGTCTGCCTTCTAGAAGCCCACAATTTGCTTTAGACAAGGCAGCTGTATGATAATATAGGTTTGTTAATGTTTAGATGAGATTAAAGAGGGATGTAGATGATAATAATTGAGTAAAAGTATAAGTTCCTGAGAAGGACAAATAAATCTGTTGTGATATTTTAACAAGTTATCTGGTAAGATAATGAAACAGAGGTAAAGCATGGACTATTGATGGGTGGTGGACAGAATGGCATGAGAGCACACGTGATTGGAGAACATGAAATCTGGAAAGCAATGAAGAAAGTGGCTTCTCTAGAGCATATATCAGATTACATAGCTCCACTGAAGAAAAATATGGAAATCAAGAGTTACAGCCTTTCAATTCAACTTCCAAATTTTTCACACCTAGCTTTAATTTACACATCAGTATGCAGTTTAATTTATGCCTTTGTTCAATGTGTATTCAAATATCTGCCTCAATGACATTTCATGTCGCTCCTTGCCTGGGGCATCTGTCTACTGCATCAAGCTGAAGCAAGTTATGGGCTTTTTAAACAAGGTTATACACGAATACAGTGATAATAATGCTGTTTATACTGAGTAATAATCCTTCATAAGACACGCTTAGAAATGTTTAGACTCTGATACAGTCTCTTTCTAGAAGTTTAAGCAAAAGAAAAGAATTAAGATACCTTTTAAAAAAACATGTTTTCCATTATGATTTCAGTTTAAATGCTTTAATCTATTTAAACTGTTTATACCATTAGTATGATGTCCATATTATAAGTAGTAATTATTAGCACTATTTAACATGCTGTGGTTGGCATAATAGTGTAACTAAGTTCATTATAAAGCAGCTTAAATGACCATGACCATCGCGTCTCTTGGGAGCTTACAAAATAGAACCTGATTTCTTTTCTCAGAGAGTCAAAAACGTTTACTTTGGACAAGTCTAAATGTAGTACATTTAATAGTTAAAAGGCAAGTGAGAAACTTGCTTCCATGGAGAATTAACCACAGTTATTTCAGCTAACTGACAACTCATATTTGTGAAACCACCAGGAGGGCTTACACAAATGATTTACTAATGGTGCTTAAAGTATTTTTACTCTACAGATTTGTCACTTAGTGTACGCATCCCATATAGTTCAATGGCTCTAAAGAATCCGTTATAACTACTTTTCTGAAATAATTATAAGATTAAAGGCTTATTTTTGGAGCCGTTAATGATATCAATGAAAGGATTAAAACAATTTCAGTGAAAATCATACAGAGATGAAAGAGCTAATGCTTCTATTACATTTTAAGTGACAAATGAATCAGAGAAAGGCAGAATTTCCTTCTCAACTCACATTCCAAATGAATTCTACAGAATCTTATGTTTGATTAACTAAAACAAATAAACATAACAATTTAGTCCTAGTGCCCACTGAATAGTACTCATAGAAAACCACTCCTGAAATGCCATTAAAATACCTACAGACAATGAAATAATTAGAAGTCTTTCAGGCATAGCATTTAATATAGTTGGAGATACGTATATCAAACATGTAACAATGATAGAGGCACACAAGAACAACAAGATGCAACCAAACTTTTATCAAATGAAATCTCTAATTTTAATATCTTATTTCTTATTAATGCTCACCTTAGCATGAGCCATCATTTTAGTAATAGACAACTAAAAGCCCTCAGATTTGCCCAGATTTCATTATCCTTCAAGTACACTTCAGATGCCTTGATCATCAAAAACTTGACATATTATAACTTGTATTAATAGTTTATACAACAGTAATTTATAAAAATAAGATATCGACTATGAATGTATTAATTACACACAAAAATACTTGCCAGAATTTTGAATATGAAGAAGACAAAAGGTGAAAAATAACGAAGGCTTTCTTAAGTACAAGAGAGAGAAACCTTGAAATCTACTGTTTTTGTCTTTAGACTTCAATTTGTTTAGTTTTATCTAAAATATAGTTTTCCCTATATTTTAAAAAGTCATTAAATAAGAGAAGGAAAAGAAATAACTGAATAGCTGTAGACTTATAGTAAATGAATGACTTTATCCCTGATTTCCAAGAAAGCATGGTAATAGTGAACAAATATCTAAGAGATATATAATATATAGCTAACTTATCAAGAAATTTTAATATAAGCCTTATATAATATGCATTCCTATTGACCAGTCTTTTTAGAAACAAAAATATTTTTCTTACCCACTAATATTATATATTTATATTTATGTTATGTTAATATGGCCATATTTAGATTGCTCAAATATTTAATTTCATATGCTGAATAGCAAAAGAATACTTTTAAAATTATTTTCCATGGCCAACTAATCCTTAATCAATACTCTTACTATATTTTGATTAATGATTATAAAATTACCTATTAATTTTACTTCTTCTTTTTTTCCCTACATTGTTAGAAAGTTATTGTTAGCAGTAAAATAATTTTTCTGCCATATTTGGAGAAAATCCTATTTCTGCAAATTGTGAAAAATACATTTATTCTCTCATGTAATGAACTCAGTTCTAGAGAACACTATCAAAATAACAGCATGCAATGTCTTGCAGACCGTGAAATGTAATAGATAATCCAGTAAATTGTAATACTTTCCAAATGCTGTTTGCAATTAGCATTTTGGTGATATAGGGAATAGTCAGATATGGAAAACTATTTCAGAATACCCTAAAACACATAACACTGTTTATGTTCTTATGTTCAATATGTAACACAGATGCATGTTGAAGGTTTATATTATGCACAAAGAAAAGAATATTAGAAGTATCATACCTTTGAGACATAATCTTATAGGCATCTGGCAGATAACATCGGATATTCTCCATCTGAGCAGGGTCAGAGTCACAAATTTTGTCATCAGTCCTGCCATAGTTCGCACTTTCTATCATGATGACGTCTGTTCCTGGACAGCGGAGCTCTATAGGATAGCTCTCACAGGATAGCTCTCTGCGGACCACAGCCATCGGAATTGGGGCACGGCTGAAAGCTGCCAAAAGGAGGAAGAAGAAAAGAGATGCCATTCTTACCACATACAAAGGAAGATTACATGTGTTTGCTTTTCCAGTGTTTGGGGTAAATCAATACCAAGATACAAAGCAGTTAAGATTCATAATCTTAATTAAACTAGAGTATTTTTCTATTCAGTAACTTTATAACTATTTTTATTCTATTTTAACAAAAACAGTTCTTAAAATCTTTATCATATTTGTTTTTCTTATAAATGGAAAAAGGTATTGTCGATTTTGTATTAAACTCTTGGCCTGGTGTGTCCGATTAAAACTAGATAGAGATATCATCCAGTTTATACAGTCAGATATTCAGATAAACCTTGCAAGTGTTCCTTTCTTCTCTCTTTTTAATAACAAAATCATCATTGAAAAATTGCACTATCGCTGACTTTAAATATACTTAATCTATTTCAATTTTACAACATACTTCCATTGTTTGAGGCAATACTTCATGACTTCACTGTAGAACTAATGCATGCTATTTATTTAAGAAAATGGAGATTCGTTTGGAGGAAAAGTTATATTTTCCTTTAGCTCCTCCCCATACTCTTCCCCTAAAGTCAACAGGTAACTAGTTACCCATGTGGAGACCTCCAAATTATAATTTTCTTCACAGAAACAGACATGTGTGTGTTCTCCCACTCCTCGTTTCATTTTACTCTGGTAATTTTACTCAGGTAGTATCACACTATACACATTGTTTGATATTTTGTATTATTTTATTTATAAATATAATGATATATGATGGAAATCTTTCCATATCTGGATATTGTTTCCTTCGTTTTTAATGGCTACATCTCATAAAAATATAAATTATTTAATTGGTCCTATGTTAATGGACACTTGGAAAAGTCTTGGTGTTTTTGTGTCATAATACTGCAAGGAAGCCTAAACCTATCTGTGCACCTTGGCAGTAATATATTTGAGAAAACCTAATTATCCAAATACATTTTATGGTATATTTCTAAAAAATGAGATCGATGGATCAAGAGGGCAATACATTTCAAATTTGGCAAATATCAATAGAGTTCAAATAAACTTGAAAATGTATACTTTCTACCAACAACACTTTCTTTTTCAAAACTAAATATTATCAATTCCTTTAAGTTTTGTCAATTTGATAAAGAATGGTATAATATCTTTAACTTGTACTACTTTACTTGTACTGTGGAATATATTTTCATGTTTATTGACCTTTCATATTGCTTTTATTCATGAATGGTTGCTTACATTTATGTAAAGTTTGCTGTTATAAAATTTTTGTAAAAGAAAAATAAACATTTGTCCTTTACATTTATGAGAAATATACTTTTTCTAGCTTGATGTTTAATTTTAGATGTTTGCTGGACATCTACATTTAAGTTTTATACAGAAAAATGTCTGCCTTTTCCTGTCAAGTTTAAGAGTTTCCCTCCCCAAGATTGTGAACATAATCACTGCATTATTGGGAAAGAGTCAAATGTTAAGTAATGATAACTCAACAAATCTTCTTTAATAAGTATGTAATTAAAATTTTAAATGAAGTATTTACTAACTGTCAAATAAGTTGATTTCCACATTAAGAGAATCAGTTATAGAGAAACATGTGATAGCTTAAATTTGCATTTATAGTTGATTAAATCACTAATGTGCACATGCACAAAAGACATGTATTTAAATAAATATGTGCTTGTCTTCTTGTGGCTTTTTTACGAAGCATGAAATGTGAAAAGAAGGGAGGAGAGAGGCAGGGAGGTGAAAAATGGAGGGGCAAAGAAAAACATATAACTATAAATATTTTCACTTAAAGTTTAGAGAAAATATTGATTTGGTTTGTGAAATATACCCATAATTTAAGAGTTGAGAGTGATATGGGTTTTCATCTCATTTGTATGATATTTTTGAAAAAGTATGACTGTACCATAGACCCTAGGCAAAACGTCTTAACAGGTTAACAGGTCACTTGAAGTTCTTTAAGCTGCACTGCACAGTTAATTCCATTCTGGTTGGTGTTCAACATTTTATTTCTCTCTCTCTCTCTCTCTCTCTCGTGTGCACACACATACACACCCATAGAAGAATCTAGCATATCCACAGCATTGACTGAAGAGCGTTAACACAATTAAACGTTGGCTGTAATGTTATTTTTAAAGTTTGTTGTTGTGTCAACACTTGGCAAGGTACTCTCACAATAGACACTAAATTTCTGATACGTGCATTTCTATTGTCCTTAAAATAAATTTATTTGTCACTCAGAAATTGGATGCTTATTTAAATCTGAAGTCATTTTCAATACTGAGATTCTATTTTCATGGATACAGACATTTTCAATAGTGTATTTAAAGTCTTATATAATAGAATCATTGAATTAAAAAAAGGACTTTGGTGAATTTAAATGGAACATAGAGGTGTTTTTGTTTTTGTTTTCACAAAAGTCCTTAATATCAGAATTCTCAGAATGTTTTAGAGTAAATTTTTACACATTTATTAAGAGACAAATTGTTTCTTAACTTTTAAAAACATTTTATAAAAATTCACATTGAAACTGCTTCCAAACATTGAATTCATTATCTAGCTATAGTATGTTGACAAAACTAGTCAATTGTTTTTTTATAAACAAAAAAAAAAGGTTAATGTAACAATAAAACAACAAATTAGCAAAAAGCATCTGTTTCACTAAGTGGAGAATTTGGTTTATAAACTCATGGGTCAGTTTTGTCAAAACAATGGCATAACTTTAATTTGGATCTTCATTGTCAAAAATATGATTTAGTACCAGACACTAGACAGTTGCAAAGTCAATTAAAATGTCGAGGCCCGAATTTTCCATGTATCTTTTGAACTTGTAAGAATGGTTCAACAGTTATGGATATGGCAATTTTTATGGAGAACCAGAGTTTATTTGTGTATGCTTTCTTCCACTAAGTGTATAATTGCATTTATATCATCAGTAACCCAGTGACAAACTGCACTCCATAAACGATGCGTGCTTTGTTTAAAGGAATTTGTTAATGGGAATGTATTGCTGGAAACTACTCTATAAGATTATCTAATTAGCTATTTAAATTACTTTTAATTATTTTACTGTTTTAATAACAACCAAACTCCAAAGGAAAAAAAAATGATTTTTGTTAAGAAAAGGTTTCTGCCATTCAGTTATCATGCTACTAATAGAAAGACGTGGTTAGAAGAGGAAAACACTGAAACATGGAAAACGCCAACAATTCAAATGCAGAGTAATCAGTCAAATAGTCTACTGCATGTTGTGCCAAGTTAACATTGCATTGGGCATTGTGGACTGGCTCATAACGTAATAATTTGGAGCAAAGAAGGCATATACATACCTTCTTATGCTCCTTCCCATTTTTATTCCATGAGGTAATCTGTTATATCAAAGATTACAGTGTCATCTATTAGGTGTGTAATAAATATCTGCTGAATAAATTGGAAAAGGTTTAGATGTGAAATCTGGAAACCCTCCACTAGGATGCCACACTTTGGAACTACTCACTGACCACAGGACTGACTAAAGGGACATGAACTAATTACACTTCTCTGATAAAGATGCCAGAACCTCAGAAAGTTTCCAAATTTCATATCAAACATACAGCTAGTGAAAAGTTCTTTTGATCATGGAAATAGCTCCCTATTCTTGCTCACTTGTTTTCCACAGACATTAATCTGATTTTTTACTTATTTTCTGAGATTTTAGCCACTTCATTACTGAAACCTCTTGTTGTTCTGTTTCCTTCTCCTTGGGCTCTCTCCCTTACTGATAAACCTATTTGCTGCTTTTTGACTCAATATGCTATAAGTCCTTGATGAACTTGTGTGTGATAACTAAAGATACCAGACTAGGAATGGGAAGTGAGGAGGCTAGAAGTAGGCGACCAATTAAGAGTCAGGTGATTCCTCTTGGTCTCCAAGGACTAGGGTCAGAAACTTGCCAAGGTAATCCTAGGTTATAAACAGGGGGCTTTCAAAGAAGGGAATATTACTTCAGACATGCAATTATGGTACAAAACATATCAATAAGTAAAAGACTAAACACAGTCTAAGAGGCAAGTAGCCAATTAATTGGCTGAGGTTATAACAAATATAATTAATTCAGTTGAAATGCATTAAATTTACGGTGTTAAGATACCTGCAAATGGTTAATAATCAGTTGGATGCATGAGTCTAGAATTCAGGAGTAGAATATAGGCTAAAACCATGTTAATATATAAAGTAGCTAAGTGAGTATCTATAGAGTAAGAGAAGAGGGATGAACAAAGAAGTCGAAACATCAGTGGTCACTGACGACTTGAAGAAGGTGCTCCTTATTCATGGGAGAAATATAGAGAAGGGCATTTCATATATGTTCAAGGAAGATTTTGACTGTATGGACTAAATCACCTGCCACTACACTGGCGGAAGGGAACGTAAATAATTACATGATAGATGAATCAAGCATTTTTCTGTCTCTCCCTGAGCCAAGTCTTCAATGTCCTAGTCAAATCTTTTTTTTTTTTTTTTTTTTTTTTTTTTTTTTTTTTTCATGCAGTAGATGAGCTAACCTAGAGAGGGAGTGCAGATATTTAAGGAGGTCAAAGCGAGTCAGGATAGGTAATCAAGGAAGTGACCATGTCCTGGAGATGCAGCAACTGTGGCCCTTTAAGAGCAATCCTTTCAGTACTCACATTGCAGTCAAGCTCATTCAAGAAGAGCTATCTCTAGGAGGGAATTGTCCCATGGAGGACATGCACATTTTGATTTTACCTGTCCTCAAACTTACTCTTTGCTGGTTATAATAGTGAAAAACACACCCCTGGATGGAGATTTAAGATGCTAATGAGACATGTGATGTATGAACAAGCATGTACAGCTACTGCACATGTGCACCCAGAGGACCACTCAGAACATGCTTACTAGTAACACCTCTTCCCACCCTCTCATGAATAATCATGTAAGATGACTCCCATAAAGGGAGTTTTCCCAGTAACACTGGCTGTCTTATCCT